TAAGAAGATATATTTTCGGCTGGCTCCCGGCTATGATGCTTTGGTTGTTGCTGACAAAATTAGGATCATCTAAACTGAATCCAGCTGGCTAATTCTAAATATAAAAATTTTTCACTGTATGTTTATGTGGATTTCTGTTTGGGCTGCAGGGAGGACATACTGTGATATATACACACTATAAATAATGAAGTTTGGGCAAGAAAAAGAAAATCATAGAATAAAATATAGGGAGAAAGCTTTGTGACATTGGTCGTGGCAATAAATTTTTGGATATGACACCGAAAGCACAGGCAACAAAGGCATAAATAAACAAGGGGGATTATATCAAACCAACATGCTCTGCATGGTAAAGGAAACAATCAACAGTATGGAAAGGCAGCCTACCAAATGGGAGAAAAAAATTGCAAATCATATATCTGATAAGGGGTTAATATCCAAAATATATAAAGAATCATATAACTCAATAGTAAAAATCAGTCTAATTTTAAAATGGGCAAAGGATCTGAATAGACATTTTTTTGCAGAAGACATACAGATGGCCAACAGTATGTGAAAAGATACTCAACATCACTAATCATCAGGGAAATGCAATCAAAACCACCATGAGCTATTACCTCACACCTATTAGAATGATTATCATAAAAAAAAAAGACAAGTGTTGGCTATGATGTGGAGAGAAGGGAGCCCTTGTGCACTGTTGATGGCGATGTAAATTAGTGCAGATACCGTGGAAAACAGGTTGGAGGTTCCTCAAAATGTTAAAAATAGCACTACTATATGAGTCAGCAATTCCACATCTGAATATTTATCCAAAGGAAACAACAGTACCAACTCAAAAAGATATCAGCACCTCCATGTTCACTGCAGACATGTTTCCATGTCTTCACTATTGTAAATAAGTGTCCATTAATGGATGAATAAAGAAAATGTGGTACATATATACAATGGACTATTATTCAGCCATATAAAAGAAGAAAATCTTGCCTTTTGTGACCATATAGATGGACCTCAAGGACATTATGCTAAGTGATATGTCAGACAGAAAAAGATACCATGGATCTCACTGACATGCGGAATCTTTTAAAAAAGAGAGAAAATAAAGAATGCACAGGTACAGAGAAGAGATTGGTGGTTACAAGAGATAAGGAGATGAGGGTGGGCAAAATGGGTGAAAGTAGTCAAAAGGAACAAATTTCCAGTTATAAAATATATAAGTATGGGCTGGGTATGTAATGTATAGCATGATGTCTGTAGTTTAAAATACTGAATTATTTCAAATAATAATATTTGAAAGTTGCTAGGAAAGGAAATCTTAAAAGTTGTCATCACAAGAAAAAAATGTTAGTATGTGTGCTGATTGAAGATTAACTAGATTTACTGTGGTTATCATATTTTATAATGACCTTGAGGACATTATATACTAAGTAATATAAGTCATACAGAATCATTATGTTGTATACCTGAAACTAATATGTTATATGTCAATTATATCTCAATTTTATTAAAAGATACACTTTAATTCACATCTAACTTCCTATGTTCATTCTCAAGTAGGTTCAAAAGAGAAGAGAGGTGATTAGTGAACACTCTCGCAAACCCAACGTTGGATTTAAGCACTTGGTTACAAAACTTAAATCTAGTTCTCGGAATTGGGCATTATTTCAGTGTTAGAATGACAGGGTAATTTGATACGCCAATTTTGTGATCCTAAAAGCTTGTAAAATACTATCACCCTACTGTGATTAATCTTAAGAACTGTAATCGGTGATAAAACTTTTAGTGGTACTCAGATGACTCAAAGTTATAAAAATGAGCAATACAGTCTTGAAATCGATTTAGGCCTAGATGATAGATATATATATGCTAACATCAGGTTGATGTAATTGAGATATAAATAATGTTGAAACCTCTTAGAAATAGAATAGAAAAAATGTTTTTATTGTATACAATGGCAACCTATTTCTTTCTTGGCTTATGATATGGACTCCCTGAAAAGAACGAGCCAATGACAGAAGTTGGTGACAGTTTAAATTCAGTGATTTTCTTATGTAAGTACTACAAAGCCAGACACAAAACATAATTAATGATCTTCCAGAGGTTGCTCTCTTTTTAGTTATTGTCTTGGGTCAAATGTTATTCTGTAAATTATTTTGAGTTACCAGGAAGCAGGATCCCTAATGTACATGTGTCAACTATCTCTAGGGGCTACCTGCGAATTGAATTAGGGAGCTTTATTGTGTGCTAAAGAGGTTTCTTGGGAGGTTAATTTGGGAGCAAAGAACCACTTAGCCTTTGTCTCTTGTTGATCCTTCTGAATTCTCAAACACTAATAAAAATAAATAAACATTTAAGAAATTTATTGTATTCTAGAAAAAAGCTCAAAGTAAAAAAATATGTTAAGAAAGATTCTTATCTGCACTTAATGTTGATGTTATAGTGCCTGCTCCCAAATAACTTGGGCCACCATGGTGCCTAAGAAAGTTGGGGTACCCTGCCTTGCTGGTGAATCATTGGGTGCTCATCCTTCAACTATGTTAGGTATCTCAGTGTAAAGTCTGTGCCCAGCATTGTGTTCCCCAACACCTCACTCAGTGTCTGGCACATTAAAATAAACCAGTTATTATTGAACACACACAAACACATGTATTCATTTAACCATCCATCCATTTAATTAATTAATTATCTATCCAGATTTTTCTCTATGTATATTCAAAGAAGCCAGAAAAAGAGTAAAAGGTAAGGATTGAGTATTTACTTATCTCTGAAACATCTTAAAAAATTATTAAGCACACATTTATTCATTTATCTATGTATCTATCCATCTATTTATTATTTAGCATTTATCTATCCAGATTTCTCTCTATATATATTTAAAGAAACCAGAAAAGGAGTAAAGGGTGAGAGTAAGGTATTTAATTTCTCCAGAAATATTAGGTGTTTGGGTTATCACATATTTTATGGGAATGTACCAAATATTTTCTTATTCTTGTTATGAATTTGAAACCATTGTCTTAGTTTTTTATGTTCTTTATGAATTCAAAACCATTGTCTTAGTTTTGATTGCTATTATTATTCCACAAATAATTTTGTTTACCCTCCCCCACCATTAAGTTCTTCTTTCTTCTTGTAGTTCTTGATCCGGAATTCATTAATGTATTTTTTGAGGTATGAATCAAAAGTGATTCTCTACACTAATATTTTATTGCTCATATGTTTTTTTAAAATTCTGTATTTCCCCAATGTTGTGTTACTTATACAATTTATTCAAGAAAGGTAACTCAGAGCTCCAATCAGTGAAACATAGGCCTCTATCAAGATTGACCAATGAAGGTACATTTACGTGTTTTAATGTAGTGTAGTCCTCATTTTAAACAATTGTTTTGGTTAATAACCGGCCTCAACTACACTGGATTAGAGAGATTCTTTATACAATTTCTGCAGCTATACACAGACTTGATACCTCTCTGGGCAGCCATTTCTTTTGTAAAACCGATATGGATTTTTAACAGATGTTGCCATTGCTGTATACAATAAGTTTAATGTTCTGAACTAGCCTTGTGATCCAGCTGCATAATCAAATGTAATACAATCTTGAGACTCAACAATGTTTCCCTTAAGTTTTGTCTAGTCATATGGTTTATAGTGAGGGTGTGTGTGTGTGTGTGTGTGTGTGTGTGTGTGTGTGTGTCAGGATGGGAGGAGCCTAGGTGTGAAAAAGAGGAATGAATAATTTCCTTTGAGCGATTTGATTACTAGCTTTATACTTCATGGTTTAAACAAGTAACCCTTCAAATAGGCATTTGGTAGGCATTTGTGTCCCCCTCCCAATTTCTCCAACTCCACCCACTACCCTGCACACCGTGGAAGTCTGTGAACTCTGGGCTGGATGGACAAATATTCAGGGTAGCCTGCTTCCAAGAAGAGGTGTTTTAAGTTGTGTGATTTTTTTATCATTATCATTTATCATAGTGTACATTTTTTATCATTTAGTCATCTTCTATATATCTGTCCCCAAAAGCCACTGTGTTTGTGACCACCACATCATATGAATCCAGCAACTCTTTGAAACTAGTACATCATTAAAAGTCCCCTTTTCAGGCTTTTTTTTTTGCCCCCGGAAGGTATGGGGAGGAACTGGCAATGTTGTTTTTCTCCAGTTTTAGTGAGACCTAATTGACATACATCACTGTGTATGTTTAAGGTGTACAGCATAATGGTTTGACATATATATTGTAAAATGATTACTGCTATTTAGTTCAGGTTTTCTGTATGCAACCTATTATTCTACAACTCTAATGTCATTGTTTTGAAATGTGATGGACGAGTGCTTTATGAACATGTCACTTCTTTAGATGATTTTCATGATCACTCTCATACTATGTTAACTGGTATTAAAAACATCTGTATGTTAATTCCCCACATCACCACCTGACTTCATTTGGTACGTCTTCCTTTTGTCCTCATGTTTTTACAATCTTTAATCTCAAATATTATAATTAAAATTGATATTAAAATTTTTGCTAAAGATTTGCAGCTTAAAATTTTTTTATATTATGTCATTACTTATATTAATTTTTTAAGTTTTGCATCTTAAAAAAGTTTATACAGCAATAGAATTGCTGTTAATTGTGACTATTTTACATGTTAAAGTTTTGCAGCTGGAAAGTTTTAGTTATTTCTTGGAGTATTCTGAATAATAAGATACTGGGTTGCTTGATTAATATATACTTTACACCCTCCACACTTCTGAACTTACCCCCAACTCGACCCTCCCACCTCTTCTTCCCATCCCACACCCATCCTCTGGACTCCCCCACCTTCCCTGTTACCCATCCTCCCCACTGCCTTGCCCTCCACACTCCTTCATCTTCCCCCACCACTCCCTACTCTGTCCACTCCCCACCCCTGTCTATTCCTCCACACCCCCAACCCCCACACCCTGCCCACTCTCCTACCCTGTTCCCTTGATACTGGTGGCCGCTGAAATGATCAGGACACAGTTTGCACTTAACCACTAAATCTTTATTAATTGAAATTATAACATCAATGCAGTATTAGTAAATTGAGAGATATATAAAGAGAATACAGCAATAAAATGGGGAAGGGTAGGGAGGTGGGAGAGGTAGGTAAGTGCAGGAGTAGGGAGAAGAGGTAGGGGTAAAGAGGAGGGCTACTGATGGGAGCAAGCGTTCTTATTCATCACTCTTGTATGAATTCCATGAATATTTACCATCCATCATTATCAACTTCATTCCAGTGACAATTTCTCAAAGGGTATCTATCCATCCTATAACTCTCTAAAAGCTTTGCTCACACTCTTAATCTCTGGAGTTAATACCCAGGGCAAAGAACGTCTATTAAATTATCTATCTAATCACCTTTGAACTTTCTCCCATTAGGGTTTTATCCATGTCCAATTCGCCCTAAATAGGCTGATCTCCCTGCAGTTCCCTCCGAGTTTATTTGCAATCTTTAAGGGTAGCAATCACAGGGTAAAGAATCACAAGTACACGTGTCTACTTATAGAGATACCTAATACATAATCATGCTGTTTAACCCCACCCACTTATGATTACATAATAATCCCTTCTACCCTAAAATACTTATGATTATATATATCCCCTATTACTTAATTGATTATTTAAATGATTATGCAAAGAAATAAAAACAATATAATTTTCCACAGACCAATTCAATAGCATTCTACAATCTGAAACAACAAAGAACTTTCGGTCCCAAGATGAACATGTGTTGTTCCCACTGGACTCTTCACCTCTGCAGGTGGTCTGTCATTTCTGCCCAGGTCTTCCCAGCAATGTTCTCTGTTGCCAGTCTTGGAATTCGTTCTGATGTTAGATGTCTGTGGTAGATGACACCTGGATCAATTCAGAAGTCTAAGAGGTACCTGCAAACTTAAACAGAAATCCAGACTGCACTATATAGATGTGCCTCTCTTACTTTACGCACCTACCAGTTTACTGTGCTACCTCACATGATTTAATCAAACTAATTCTTCATTTTTCCAATATCTAATACAAATACCTCATTATTCAAACTAAACTGACCCTTCAGAAATGTACATAAACTTCTTCCATTTCAATATCCTAGCATGATGACCTTAGCTAGTTTTCTTCAGGCTTGCCTGACAACGGGAGCTCATATCTTCTTCTTCCTTGATTTTTAAATTCGCACTGCATATTTGAGCCAAAAGTCAATCAATTTTGCCAATTTGCTTCAAAGGGGTGACTATTGGCTTTAATAATTCTGATGTTGCTTTATTTATCTCCTTTATAGCTTTATTTTGCTCCCTTTCTAACTTCTTTGGATAGAGATTTAATTCCTTTGCTCTTTCCTTTCTTACAAATAAAGGAGTTTTTGTTGGAAAATGCCAAATAATGTGAAGTATCCAATTAACATAAATTTGATTGATAACAACAAAATAAATCAATTGAGTGAAAGGAAACTTAATAAAATTCTGATACTATAGAACAATATATTTGAGATTACTTATCCTTAAAACCTACATTTATAGATAGTATATATAGCAAGAGAGCATAGTACACACTGCCATACGTTTTTCAATAGCTTTACATAAACAGCCAAATGCATGTCAGAGACTTCCTCTGCGAGTTGTTAACCCACACCACCACACTCTTCCTGACTGTTGCTGTCAATGGCCAACATCTCCAGACTTTTGCTTGCGGTGATGGCAAATGTCCGTGTGCACATGCCAGGGCTGCAGACAACGACCCATTTCTAGGCCCTCTGTAGCTTGAAGATCAATTGACAACTGTAAATTTGACACAATACAACTTGAATTCAAATGTATGGAGGATGGATTGATATCTGAGGTAAACTGAAGTGACGCTTCAAAATAGTCCAGAAGCACAAATGCACCATTTTAAAAGTAATCACGTACTCTAAAACACATGAGTGACTGACAAGTTTTCTGATTCCAATGAAAAAGAAAAAGAAAAAGAAGCTTGTTTTGGATTAACTAGCCAATTAAGTATCTTTTTTGAATTTGTATCTTTTCTGTGCTTTCTAAAGGCCTAATCGATAAAACTGAAATTATATATGATATTAAAATAAAAGATTGAAGATGAACAAGATGAACTATTATACAAAACTCCAGTTCTGAGGAGCCTCTCATTCACAGTGTTGTAAGAGTTCACAGTAAAGAAATATTTTATACTACGTTACTTATCAATTACCTTAACTCTAACACAACAAGAATTGGATAATATTTTGTAATTCAATGGAAATAATTTTTGAGCAGTCACCACTTTACGACATTGCTAAGGACACAGCTAATCTACAGCTAAAACATGTAAGTATTTAAACATGCAAGTATAAGGGTGGATGGTAGTGAACATGTGAAAGATGATATTGATGAAAAATGGAACTTCACCGTTAGACTCCTCTTCCTGATAGGCAACCATGTTGTTTTCTACTGCTTAAACTGTGTTTTGGCAATTGGAGACCATGTGTTGAAACACATTCTTTGAAGCCTGCCTCTGTCTTCTCCATGTATGGCAGGCAGTAAAATGGAGTCTCAGCAATCAGGCGGATAGGATGACACAAATCCTGCAACAGGGTTAATGGCAACAGTAAAGAATTAAACAAAAAGAGAGAGGTTAGACAAACAGTTCAAGGTAGTAGCAAGGGACCAGGCTAAAGGAAGTCAGGCAGTCCCAGGTTAGCACAAAGTATCCAGGAGACATCAGCCGATGTCACTGGATTGAATCATCTGAGTTGCTTTCTGAGGCCTTTCATTCACTGACAGCTGGATCTGAAGCTCACTAAAGAAGTCCATATCCTCCAGACAGCGTCCAGTGCCCCAATTTCTCTTCTTCAAAGACATCCCTCCCAGGCATAGAAGCGTGGGTGTGAGTACTAAAATCATTTCCCCTCTCTGAGCATCCTGATGTTACAGTTTAGTGAGGGGACTGATGATGAAAATGCCCATATGCATACGGAGGCAGAGACGTGGATAGATGTTCCCAAGACTTCCGGTGTTCTTCTTCCAGCCAAATAACAACACTCATGAACATTCTTTCTAAAACAAGTTGGAAACGTTAACTCAGAGTCCCTTTTTAAAGAGTTGGGTACAAGATTTCAGAGTCCTTTTGATTTGCTGCTCATTAGCCCTCAGATAAAATTGAGAGGTGGTTACATTTTACAAACATCCAACACACCTGGAGCCACCAACAGTCTCTGGTTACCAGCTTAACATTTCGAAAGAAGCCATTGCTGGCATGATGATGGTAAGGTGTTGTGAAAAAGCCAGAGTTCTTGGGTACATGTGATTTGCACCAGGATGTGAAGGCACACTCAACATGCAAGAGTCCGTCTGAGAGGGCACTTCCTTCTCAGGCCTGAGGTGTTTCTGTTGCAGGAATTTTGCCTGCTCCTGGGAGAACCGGTCAAGTTGCTGCTCCTTGAGAATTAACAGAACCATGAAAGTATGAAGATGATGAAGTTTCTAAGGGTGCAGCAAAAAGATCACGGAAGCCGTTTCACACTGCACCAATAATTGTGGCTTCCTTAATAAGGCCTCGGTCCTCCAACGATGTAAAGAGGGTACCGAAACTTGCAAGAAAAGTCATGTCCTCCTCCTCCTCGTCTCCCCCTCCACAAAGACATCAGCATTTCCTGTGTTTGCATCAGCTTCTCTGTAAATGTTAGTTGAGGTTTCCAGGATTCAGTGGGAAGTAAACTTAGGAAATTTAGTTAGATTGGCAGTCGAGGTGGAAAACTGAGAGATAATTTGTTGGTGAATATTCTGTCGCTCCCAGAAAATGGTGAGCTTTTGGTGCTTTTAGGATGTGCGCCAGTCCAGGGTTGCCCTGACCTTCTCTAGCCTTTCAGAGAGGACCGCCTCAGGTTGGCCGTTGGCCTGAAGATGCAGGAGCTCAACTTAGCACACAGTCACTGATTGAGAAGCTGAACAGGAATAAAACGAGGGCAGAGATCCTGAGGGACATGACAGCATTTACATGGTGCTGTAGGATGGCGGTGGTGGCGGCGGCGGCGGTGGCGGCGGCGGCTGCGGAGGTGGATACTGGGGGACCGGAGGCTGGCGGTACCAATGTGGATTCCAGGTGATCATCACAGGGACATAGAGCGAGCGTCCATGTCCATCTCGTCCCACTGGGTACCAGGCGAATCCGACTGGGTAGGTCGGGTACGTGGCATATGTGGGGTACGTTTGGTATCCAGGCATTTGAGGTACGTATTCAGTGTACGACGCCAGGTGAGCTTGGTCATCCAAATTTGGAATAGAGAGTCGAGGGTACTGATTCTGGATGGTGAAACTGTTGGGAGCTCGGCAGTCGTAAGAAACTTGTAGTTTCCACCCCCTTTTCACTTGGAGAACTTGAGCTCCGTTAGGTGCGATTGTTGGAGTAATTAGCCCATCTTTCACATTTCTGGCCACAAAATCCCGCAGAGCTGCCATTTCAGGTTCAGACAGTGAGTACACGTGTCCGCTGGGAATGCTGTGTGCTCCAGGTATCATTTCTATGTTAGGGTCCACCACGCGATTATCTGGGTAGACGTTTTCATCTACTGGAGTGTACACATTCTGGACATAGTAATACCTCACCGGTTGGTAAACTCTGTATCCGTCGACTGGGTAGTAAAAAGACGGCTGTGCTGGTGGTGGGAGAGTTGGCGGTATTGGAGAATACATCCGGCAGTGGTATCGGCAGTATTCAGAATCAAAGACGATTGAGCGGGTGCTCCAGGTGATGTTGGGATCATGTGTGCTCAGCCAGCGAACCCCTAAGACGATGGGGAAGAATGGAGACTGAGTCACATCAAATGACAGCACTTCACGGTGATCTCCCAAGTCGACGACCAGGTCATGCGTCTCATGGACAACTGGACCTGATGCTATGGGACGTCCATCAATCGCCTCTACCAGTATTGGCCAGTCCTTGACCCTTAGAGGAATTGCATTCTGGGCAACGTATTCATGATCAATGAAGTTGCCAGAGGCACCAGAATCAATCATGGCTCGGACGAACAGGGTGTGTCTGCCCGGAAGATGAACCTGGAGCATTACTTGCAAGTGAGATGAAGCATCATCTGGTGGGGACCTTATTATTTCTGGCCCGGTCGCTGAAGGTCCCTCTACAGCGGGGCCGGGGAGTTTCCCGCCGGCGAAGCCTTCGAGGCCTTGGCAGGACAGTTGTCGGCGTAGTGGCCTCCGTTTCCACAGTAGAGGCAGAGGTTCAGCTTTCTGCGTCTTTCCTTTTCTTCCTGGGTCAGGCGCATGCGGGCGCCTCCTACAGGCTCAGTAGGATCCACCTGGTGGTGGCCGATGTGAGGCAACACCAGAGCGCGTGGTGGGGAGCGTGGCTTGCGGGCTGCCGCTGCCCTGGCCAGCCTTCTCTCGATGTGGATGCACTGACCAATCAGTGCGGACAGTGACTTGGGGGCTTCGACGCGTGAGAGCTCCGCCTGAATGTGGTCACTGAGGCCCTCGTAGTACTGGTCAATCAGCGCAGGCTCGTTCCAATCCAGGTCCTGGGCAATCATCTGGAAAGCGTTGGAATAGTCGATGACTGACCCCATGCCTTGGCGCAGACGTCTGATCTTGCGTTTGGCAGCCTCTCGCCTCTGAGGGTCTTCAAAGACATGCTTCATCTCAGTCATGAAGGCTGGGTAGTTGTGCATCAGGTAGTGGGCTCGCTCCAGCTTTGCAGAGGCCCAGCGGGCAGCACGGCCGGTCATCATGCTTGTCACGAAGCAGACGCGGACACGATCAGCTGAGAAATCTCTGGTGCTCCTTTCCATAAAGAGCTGGCACTGGGATATGAAAGGAACCAGCATGTCTGGGTTGCCATCAAACTTCTCAGGAAGGTCTTCAGGGCACTCTTCCTCTATGAGAATGGGTGGGGGAGCAGCGGCTGCAGCACCGCGGAGCTCGAGGTCATCCTCGTCATCCTGGGGGGTGGGCTCCACTTGCTCACGAAGGTTGCAGTTCTCCTCGGTGAGCTTCTGCACCTGGTTCTGCAGGTTGTTGTTCTCCTCCGACTGCCTCATGACTTTCTCTCTGAGGTTGTTGATCTCTTCGGAGAGATCGTCCCGCCGGTGTTCAGCCAGGTTGGGAATGTACTGGCCCCTGGGGCCGCTGTGAGAGGAGGAAGAAGAAGGAGCGTTGGGGGGAGGAGGAGGAGGAGGAGGAGGGCAGTCGGGCCCCAGGGTGAGAGCCGGGATGGGAGGGGACCTCCCAAATGTAGCTTCACTCCTGTGGGGATGAAGGCCTGGATCCTGGCCTCCTCTTCCACTCTTTCTTCTTTTTGTTTTCAAAAGCTTTTTGTTTCTGTAAATGAAGATAAAAGCATAAATTAAACACATACAATTTAAAAAGTACAATATAAAGATTTTATCATTAAAGTGTATACTAAAGTACTTTAAATACCTGAGTATTTAAAGTAGCTCTATGGTCTATTTGCTTACATTAATAATTAAAAACCCTGCAAAGAGACAAGAGATAAGAAAAAGCACCCTACTTTTGATGTCCAAGTCACCCTTTCCTCCTCAAAATCACCTGTTTATTATGATTTAACAATATACAACTGTATTAACAGCACGAACTATAAAAGAATG